ACCAAAAAAACAGAACTCAAATCAGCCGACTCAGAGCATCACTTGGTGATAATTCCGGGAACTTTTTGATCAAGGTAATATATATATATATATATACATACATATTGCACTCATGAGCGTAGTGCAACTTCGTCGTGTGTTTACGATTAACATTCTTTAGGCTTTTATAGATAATACGGATGTTACAAAAGATACTCTTACGGAAATGGATTATTAAAATTATTTGATTTATTTAGTCGTGGTTTTTTCGCGAACTATTGAGAAGAGCCTACTATCAGATTATTGAGAAAATTATTCAGGTTATTATTGAAAAAATTAATTAATTCAGTGTTATTGCTAAAATAAATATTAGTATTTAGCATCATATTCCAGAATATACACGACAAAATTGTGATAAAAAAAAAAGTTTAATTTCACGATGCTCTCTAGCTGTTACCTATCCAAAGCTGTACTTCTAGTGTTACTTGATATTTGCGATCGTATGGAAATTATTTTTTCGATGATCTCCAAATCCTGAATGTTTATAAATGTATTATTGTGTAACTGTGACATATCTGATCAATAGATATTATCAAAATATTAAACATTCAATACTGTTAAATATTCAATACTTGTACGTAACTTTATCATTATTGTGAATCAACAATTGGAAGCTAATAATCATTTATATAACTTAAAAGTAATGTGCTGCAGTGATTATTGCAAATAATTTAATTTGGCATCAATAATCACTACAATTAAAAACTATTGAGCAATGATTGTTGCAAATAATTTGATTATAAAATCAATAATCACTCAATACGAGAACTATTGGCGAATGATTATTGTAAATATTGGATGCTAATCACTATTAGAGAATGAATAATCATTATTATAAATCAATAGTGATTATTGGCTTTTCAATAGTTCATTTCCGTAAGAGTAGCGCTGCAATATGTTAAATAAGACTGCTGTATGCGTTTGAGACAGAACGCAAGAAATTTAATTAAAAACATCGCTATCATCAATGCTTTCAGTTTGAATTTAAAAAGTCTATTTTATATTGTTGATGTTCTACTTCTCTTTGTTTTAAGATCCCCTTAAAAGTTTAAATTAAAATAAATTTCAACTAGAAATTAATTTTTTAATTTTTAAATTGAAATTAATATTCTGATAATTTTAATATTTTTGTAAAAAAAAATACCTAAACTTTAAACTGATTAAAGAATGCGCCATTAAAAAAATATAGTTTTGGGACATTCTATATAATAATTCTAATTTATAGAAATTGTATGTGTAGAAATTATGTAAAGAAAAATTATTCTGATTTTAATTTGACTCTCAGAAGAAACCGTTTATCGTATTGTTACGTATGGAAGTATACAGTCAATAAACGAATTAAATAATTTTGACAAGATAAATTAAATTAAGCAAAATGCTGGATTACAATTATTTTGTTAATACTCTTAATTTTTATGCTCTTCTATTTGCAATCCATATGTAATATATATATTTTGTATATTAACAGGAGCTTATTGATACGTACGGAGAAACAGCTACTGCAGATTGCGGATATGTGGAAGACCTTGAGCTTAAAGTGGAAACTGAAGGTGACAACATTGGTTGAAATATATGCTGAGAAACATTTTATCGATGTCTTTCTTGATGTGGTGCATTTCATGTGCGGTGCTGGAACGCTTTTGCATAATAGGAAAATCAAAATATGTAGAAAGAATTGAAAAATGGACGACGCACATACATGCCATTTTGCGTATAATTCTTTATTTTGGATGATAATGTCGCATACAGAAGAAAGGAGAAAAAACTTTTATTTACTCCATAATTTTTTTGGAATTTTGTAACATAAATCACTTAAGTCATTATCTCTTCTAATTACTGAAGATTTAATGTATTATTTTATAAAATGTATCTTAGAGAAATATATCTTAGAAGTTTTTGTGTTTATAAATTATCCATATTTTTCACTATTTTTTGTAAAATGCAAAATTCCAAATTGCCTTTTTTATATAATCTGATTCCAATTTAATTTATACATTATTAAAGAAGTAAAAAATTAACATAATGTCTGAAAAAAATCGCTTGCTGATGTATCAAATAATATATCCGCATTATTGTAATATAATCATTAATGTTGTTATTAATTATAACAAATAATTTAATTATTATTAGATATATTTCTTAAATAATGTCGATTTTTTTTAGTAATAAATATCAAGTAATTAAGATACTCTATATTATTCATAACTTATGTTTTGTTAAATTTTTAAAAAATATTTACATCATAATAAAACGACTAATTTTTGTCGTGTTTATCGAAAGATAGATTAATAATTAATACCAAAGATTTTATGTAAACGAATTTACGTAATTTTCGTTAATTCTTTCAAATGCAGCTTTATGTCATTAATTTGCGTTGCGAACCTAGTCCATTTATATGCAGTATAAATAAATATGTGTGTTACAAGATGTATCTCATTAAATCATATAGCGCTATTTCTGAAATATTGAATCGATAAGAAATTGAGTCTGCTCCGTTACATCGCTATATCTTCGCCACTAGCATATATGTACAATATTTACGTGTCATTTATAATGCGATAAATATTTTTATATTAAAAAATATTTTCCTTCCGAAACATTTCTTTCCGAGAAAATTTTGCTAAGAGATAGAACTTTCAGATAATAAGTTACATAAAAAACGAATTAGTTTTTTGTTTACAAATTGAAATAAAATTTTTCTTTGTAAATTCAAAACTCATATGTCTTCTTCACAGACTTCTATATATACTTCTATATATACTACTAGAAGTACTAGACTGCTAACTCGTTTGAAAAAGTGACTCCAAATTTTAATATTGCATTATATGCATGCGTCGAGAATTGTTTCGCATGATCGCGTGATATACATCAGCATACATATTTTGACAGGTTAACCTAATTTATTAACAGTATTAAAACTATTTATATTTTATTGTATTGATCAAGAGGACCAAAAAAGTGGACTGTTGCGAAATAAATTTTGTACTTTCGCGCTTTTTCTTCTCATAGCGTTACCAAACCTTGATCTACATTACTCTACTTTTATTGTATTACTAACACCTCTATATATTGTAACATTCTAACCCTTCAGTTAGCAATACTGATACGCATGCTACTCTCTTATTTTTTTGCTGGCTACTACATTATCTCAAATAGCAAAAATTGATCCTAGATACATTCTACAGAGGGATTTTCAAACAGAGTACGTATTTGAAAAAACTTAGGAGGGATATTTAGGATATGTTTGTATGAAGATGTTTTTATATTCTTATTTTACATCTATAGAACATCACGTTTTAGATATCATAGGATGTTTCTGGATGACCAAATTTCATTCTGTCTTTATCCAGTGAACGTTCTAAATGTCTTAGGATATTAAAATCTTGTAGAAAAATACTGAGAAGAAAAACACTACTGCGTAGTACTTTTTTACAAGGATATACTCGCGTATCTCAGTACAAAATGCAGAAAATAAATATGCGTCACAAAAACTAACTAACTATGAATAAACTATGAATAAACTATGAAAAGCACTTTCCAGAGGACAGTGCTTTTTTAAATAGACTTATTCATAGTTAGTTTTTGTGCTCCATGGCAGTCTCTCTCTGCCCTGGCGGAAAAATTTCTATGCCAAAGTACATCAAAAAGTACGCCTTTCTACTTCTATGACTGTGACGTAGAATTGCATTGTTAAATATAGAAATAACTACACCAAGCAACGCGAAAGATGTAAAATGGTACTTAGACGTAGTTACAGATGTAGGTACAGAAAGTACGCCAAAGTACGCGCAACTAATAATCATTACTTCCTGAACTACACGTTTCTATACCGAACTACGCCAAACTAATTTTTATTTTTTCGTAGTATTTGAAGAAATGCCATTCTATATTTTTTTACGCGGAATTACACTCTACAGTCTGATAGTTGGGCACAGAAATAACAACGGCAAATTACGCGTTTTTACTTGAAAAATATAAAATGGTGTATTTAGACTTAGTTAAGCATAAAAAGTACATAAAAGTACGCGCAACTAATGATTATTACATCCTGAACGCGTTTCTATGCAGAACTCCTCTAAACTGGTTTGCATTTTTCGTAAGTATTCGAAGAAAGTATACCATTCTACCATACGTCTTTCTATGCAGAATCACGTTCTACAATCAAATAGTTTGGCACAGAAATAACGCCTATTTATGTCAAGCTACGCAGTTGCACGAAAAAATCCTTTTCTGAAGTACGTATTTCTATATCAAATTATGCCAAAGTACAATACTTCTAATTTTTCCATTTGTAACATAGTAAGCCATTTTACGCCATTTTATGCAGAATTACTTATACTCATTCGTAAACATTATGCTTAAAAATTCTAATTCCATCATGACAGCAACGTGATTATATTTTGAATTTGTGCCAAATGAATTTAAGATATCATGTTATTTTAAATAGTGCAAAATGTATGCCCGAAATTATGCTTAGCGTATAGTTTCGCGTAGGAAGATGTAGATCTTTGGTATAGGAGTAGAAGTCTACGCCAAATTACTTCCATGGTTCATTCGCGTACTTAAGCGTAGTTTTTAACGTAGTTAAGCATACTTTCGGGCATAATTAGACGTATGTTCTAGCATATAATTTGCATAATTTGACATTTTGTTTAAAATGTTGTTTGGCGTACAAAGGCATGAATCAGCTTTGGCATAGGAGTAAAATTCTACGTCAAATTATTTCCGTGTTTCAAACCGCGTATTTAGAAATAGTTTTTGGTGTATTTAGGAATAGTTTGGCGTACTTTGAATAGAGCATAGAAATTTTTTCGCCAGAGTGATCAAACAAAGAATATGTGAACTCCATTTGCATACGCCTCTTTATAAAGATCCGTGTTATTTTTTTTCTTACGGAAAACAAGTCCATCTCGTGGCGATATAGCGTACTATGCCATTGGCGGCGTCCATAATATACGCCTATAGCGTACGTACATTCTATCAAGAGATGGACTCGTTTTTTATAAGGAGAAAATAATGCAGATCTCTATAAAGAGGCGTATGCAAATGGAGTTCGTCATTATTTATTCTTACTTAGTATTCATGCAATTATATCTTTGATTGAATAATGAGATTTTTCTGCCGAACATTTATTTAAATCGACAAACTGTGACTGCGAAAAAGAATTCTTTAAGCTCATGAGAGAGAATGTAATCGATGTTTGTAGCACGCTGCGTTTAGTTTACGTAGTAGTAACTTTACTTTAACAGCGTCAAGATTTTGAGCATCGATGTTGAAGAGTCCTTCGTAACGAAAGAACCAAGCATCGAAGATTAGGCTATTCTGTAGATCATAGTTAAATTCCATGATATCATTTACGAGCGATTCTGTTTCCATGTGAGATATTAACGCAAAAAATTGAAAGCTTTTTAGCGAATGCTTGCTATTGCAATAGAAAGAATTCTTGCTATGCTTTCGCTTGAGCTACTATTGTTGCAAATAGATGCGAAGAACTTTTGTGAGATCCGCCATTTCTTCGATAATGGCAGTATAATGAGCATGAAAACATAGATATGAATTATCCTTGTCGTCACTGTTGTGTCTTTTGGTAAATGATTAGAAAAGAATTGCACACAAATATAATTTATTATTACAAAGATACAATGCCGCGTATTATGTACTGAAGTTATGTCTGTTTGTAGGTGTATATGTCAGAGAATGTTTCCTTGTACATAGAGGAAACCGAGGCACCTTGATCAAACATGGGTCATTGATTGTTTAACATAATTTAGAATGCTTAAATTAATGCTACTAGTACAATACGACTGTCACTTCGTTATCCATATTTTTTATAGGTGGCAGTGATTAAATTTTGTATCGATCATTAATGTTTTCGTGGTGCAAAAGTAACTTTTTAATTGCATAAAAATGTTTTAATATTATTTTTGTAGTAGAAGATACATGAAGATGAAGTGTAAGTTTTACGCATCTTTTCTTAACTTATTACATTACAAATCATAATTTAACATTTATTTAGTTTAGTTTTTATAGTTTTCTATTAAATGTATGATTAAATATAAAATTGAGGTACATGGGTTATACATTAAATATTCATGATGAAACGAGACAATACAGAAAATATATGTACTAAAAGAGCAGTTTATATTTCTAAGCAATTAATTTTATTTTATCGTAATAAATTTTTTAGCTTGTATAAATGATTATTTTTCATTTGTTTTCTTATAACTTTCTATTTTATTATTTAATAATTATTAGGTATAATAACAATATCAATTTAAGGCTAATAAGAGTCGACACAGGACGAGGTGTGTAATTTTAATGTGGAATGATGATTTAACTCCAATAACTCGTGATATCTTCTTTATTCAACATGAACGTTTCGACTTTCTTTTGAGTCTTCCTCAGCATACAACGCTTTTTTCATTAAATATCACAATAAAACTCAGTAGTCAAGGCAAGCCATTCTCTAGGTTTCCAAATCTGAAGTGGACGCTAATTCGAAATTCACTTATGAAAACAGTTTCAAAAGTAATAATTAATGAATAACTTACTTTAACGGACTCACAAGCTTAGAAGCTTTGGATTTCTTGAATATAATAAATATCAGATAAATTATTAACACCGAATACAATTATAGTCTTCATGTTGCGGAGTGCCGAACGTATGATCTAACGTTAAATTTAAAAA